GTTGTCGTGGTGGTCATATTTCGTGGATCAGGGTTGTTGAGGTTGTCGTGGTGGTCATATTTCGTGGATCAGGGTTGTTGAGGTTGTCGTGGTGGTCATATTTCGTGGATCAGGGTTGTTGAGGTTGTCAGGTTTGCCTTATGTCGAAGTTGTCAGTTAAATTCTTGGTTGGTCAAAGTCGTCGTGGTTTTCATGGGTTGCTGTTGAAGTCTTTGTGGTGTTCATGGATGGAAGTTGTGGAGGTTGTTGTGGGTTTTGTGGGTCAAGGTTGTCGTGAGCTGAACTTGTCATGTTTTTTGTTGTTGAAGTGGTTGTGGGCCGTTGTTGTCATGGGTGTACCGGTATGTCATCCTTGTTACTTTTGTTCACTGTTGTGTATGTCATCCTTGTTACTTTTGTCCACTGTTGTGTCTGTCATCCTTGTTACTTTTGTCCACTGTTGTGTCTGTCATCCTTGTTACTTTTGTCCACTGTTGTGTATGTCATCCTTGTTACTTTTGTCCACTGTTGTGTATGTCATCCTTGTTACTTTGTCCTCTGTTGTGTATGTCATCCTTGTTACTTTTGTCCACTGTTATGTATACCAACATTTACTGTGACAGTGGGATACAATGCAGAATGAAGTCATGGGGGACTCGCCTTCAATTTTGTTGAATGCAAGTGTTTGTTATTGCAAAACATGAGGTTTTTGTGTGGATAGTTACAGGCACTGAACAAATAATGTATAATGTACTCGACTTTCTGAATCAAAAGCAGTTTGGTTTCAAATGAGAGGCATTTTCGTTTCTTTGCTTGATGCTATACCAAAGAAATGCTGGAAAATTGTAGGAAACTACACACACGGTGTGCAAAATGTCCCATTAGTTCAAATGCATGCCTGTGTCATCTATATATTATCTATATGTCATCTAGCATATATATTGCGTATTGTTGGCCAATGTTTGATTCCGCAGATCAATGCACAAGTATTGGTATGAAAGAAGACCGTTGATTGGTCGCATAAGATATGTGTCACCACCTGGTGGAATCGGGCGCTCGTCAATTTGGGGGCACGTGGAGTTATTGGTATCATCACCTTAAACTTAAGGCCTACCCATTTGCCTTGCTTTTGATGGAAAAAATATCCCTTTTCTTTTGTATAAGTCAAGATATATGCCATTGAAGTTGAAGGACGTGGTGGCTGTCTGGTTTCAGATGTAAAATTAGCGAGAAAATGGCCGCCAAAGTTGCGTTATTTCCTTAGCTTGAGGGTATTTGGAAACGGAAAATTTATATTTTTCATGCCTTTAATCAACGTTTTTCAGAAAAATCCACGTAGAAATGTATTCTTTAATGAGCATGAAAGGTGCTGACCCAAAAAAACACAGAAAATTCAATGAAAATTCCAAAACCTGCAGGAAAATGGCCAGTTTCTTCACTTTCATTATTTTGACGAGCGCCTGATTTCACCTCGCTGCCTCCGTATAAACAATAGGCTAAGCAAAATCTAATGATACGACGATAGCAGTTCACGATGCAAGTGCCATGGATGATTTTCAGGGCTAGATAAGGTTCTTTGCTAGAGAAAAATGAGAGAAGCCACGTCATTGATTTGAATCCGAGCTTGCTCATTCCGGTGTTCATTGAATGTTATTTTGATCGATTTTGAAGAATGTACAAACAGGGGGAATTCCTACTCTTTCCTTGAATCGACTTCCCCTGAATGACCTTGACAAATAAAAAGAAATGAATGATTGTCGTTTTTGTTGTATTTTTAATGTTGGTGGGGGGTTTTGTTTGGGTTTTTTTATGTTGGTGTTTTTGTTGTTTTTACGCCCTCGTCAACACAATTTAGATCATTTAGGAGGCGAGGGTGGTTGGTGGGTGCTCTGGTGTGGTTTGCTTCTTCTTTCCTATCAAACATCTATCGTGTTTATCACCCCTCTTTCTTTTTTGTGTTTGTTACTCTCTTGTAACACCTCTAATCTTTGGCATTTGTATGACCTTAGTGTGCTGCAAGTGCCGTAAAACACTTACTAAAATTAATTTAGGAGGCGGGCTTCCGAGCCTGGCTGTCAGTGTGAGATCCTGTAGGTGCTGGGTGGGTTACTCTCTTGTGACGCCTCCAGTCTGCGGCACTTGTATGGCCTGCTTGTGCTGCAAGTGCCGTAAAGCGCTGGAACAGAAAGTGTCAACCTGTTGTAAAGAAAGAGATACAACATCTCAGCTGAAAGACCAAGATACTCGATAAACATTTCACTCCGCTCAGAGATTGTGTTCGGGTGTTGTGGGTGGTTGACAGGTGCTCTGGTGTAGTTTGCTCCTTCTTTCTTATCAAACATTTATCTTCTTGATCGCTCCTTCTTTTTTATGTTTGCTGCTCTCTTGTTTGTAACACCTCTAATCCTCGACACTTATATGACCACATTGTGTTGCAAGTGCCGTAAAATTCTTACTAGAACTAAAGGATTCGGGTGTTCTGTGTGCGAGAGTCATTCACTCACTCTGTCTCTCTCTTCATCTGTCTCACGCTCACTCTGTCTTTCTCTCCATCTGTCTCACTCTCACTCATTCGCTCACTCTGTCTCTCTGTCCATCTGTCTCACTCTCACTCATTCTCTCACTGTCTCTCTCTCCATTCTGTCTCACTTTCACTCATTCACTCACTCTGTCTGTCTCTCCATTCTGTCTCACTCTCACTCTGTCTCTCCTCTCTCCATCTCTCTCACTCTCACTAATTCACTCACTCCGTCTCTCTCTCCATTTTCTCTCATTCATTCACTCATTCACTCACTCTGTCTCTCTCTCCATCTTTATCTCTCTCTCTCCCTCTCTCTCTCTCTCTCTGTCTCTCTCTCTCACTCACTCACTCACTCACTCATTTGCTCTCTCACTCGCTTGCTCTTACTCGGTAACACTCCC